GGGGCTCGATCCCAGGACCCCGGGATCATGACCTGAGCTGAAGGCAGCCGCTTAACCGACTGAGCCACCCAGGTGTCCCTGTTTTAGATATTCTCGAGCCTTTGTATTTTCATAAAAATTTTGGTATCTTGTTGTCAGGTTCCACAGAAATGTTTTTTTGGAATTTTGATTGAGAGTACGTTGAATCTATAGGTAAATTTGGGGAGACTTGATATATTTACAATAATGAGTCTTCCAATCCATATACAGGTGCACATCTCCATTTATTAAGATTTCCTCTAAAACTTCTCAGTGAAGTTTTAGAATCTTCCATAGAGGTTTTGTATGTATTTTGGGGACGCTTGGGTGGCTCAGTCTGTTAAGCGTCTGACTCTTGATTTCGGCTCAGGTCATGATCTCATGGGTCCCGAGATTGAGCCTGGTGTCAGGCTCCATGCTCAGTGGGAGTCTGCTTGAGGATTCTCTCCCTCTGTTCCTCCCCCAACTCTCTCTCTCTCTCTCAAATAAATAAGTAAATCTTTTAAAAAGTTATATATGTATTTTGTTAGATTTACTCATAGGCACTTGTAAATTTTTATTATGAAAAGGTTTTTTTAATTTTTTTTAAAGATTTTATTTATTTATTTGAGAGAGAGACAGAGATAGCAACAGAGATAGCGAGAGAGCATGAGTGGGCAGGGGAGGGAGAAGCAGGCTCCCCACTGAGCAGGGAGCCCAATGCGGGGCTCGATCCCAGGACCCCGGGATTATGACCCAAGCCAAAGGCAGACGCTTAACCGACTGAGCCACCCAGGCTCCCTATTATGAAAAGTTTTAAACCAAAAGTAGATTGAAGAATATATTGAACTTACACTTACCTGACACCCAGCTTCTTTTGTATTTTCTACATACCCAATTATATCATCTATCAATAATAATAGCTTTGTTTCTCCCTTTCCAATGCTATGTCCCTGTTTTTTCTTCCCTCACTGTGCTTGTTAGCATAACCAGGCCATGTTGAATGGAAATGGGGATAACTAACACTCTGCCTTCCTAATTTCAAAGGAAAAACCTCAACTTTTTACCTTATATTATGTTGCTACTTTTTTTATTTTTATTTATTTTTTTAAAGATTTTATTTATTTATTTGACAGAGAGAGAGAGACAGCGAGAGCTGGAACACAAGCAGGGGGAGTGGGAGAGGGAGAAGCGGGCTTCCCGCTGAGCAGGGAGCCTGGTGTGGGGCTCGATCCCAGGACCCTGGGATCATGACCTGAGCCAAAGGCAGATGCTTAACGACTGAGCCACCCAGGTGCCCCTATGTTGCTATGTTTTTTTAAATCTACCTTTTGTTATCAAGTTTCCATCCAGATTTAAATTACTGAGAGATGTTTTTTATTTAAATTATGAATGAATGTTAAGTTTTATTAGCTGCATTTCCTGCTTTGATTGAGATGATCATATGTTTCTCCTGTATTCTGTTAATGATACAGAGTATATTGATTGATTTTTAAATTATAAACCAATCATATACTTCTGGTATAAAACCAACTAGATAATAGAACAGTCAGAATGTCAAAGAGCTAGCCAGGGTAAACTTGGGGAGAAGGGTCAGAAATCATTTTATTCTTATATAAAATCTCCCAAGGAATAGAAAAAAAGGAAATGTTTCCTTGTTCATTTTACATGAATACCAAAACTTGCAAGGATGGTATAAAAACAATGAACATAAAATTTGAATCAATTGATTTAAATTATTATTGAAACAAAATATTTAAAAAACTGAACTTAACAATATATAAAAGGTACTACATCTTATTATGGCTAACTATATTAATAGCTCCCTGCCGCTCCCCACCATTTTTTCCTATCTCAGCCCATTGTCTGCTTCAGATCACTTGTTTTATTTTATTTTTTTAAAGATTTATTTATTTATTTTAGAGAGAGAGTGGGGGGAGAGGCCAAAGGAGAGAGAGACTCTCAAGCAGACCCTCCACTGAGTGTGGAGCCCTGTGTGGGGCTTAATCCCACAGCCCAGGAGATCATGACCTGAGGCGAAATCGTGAGTCAGACACTTAACAGACTAAACCACTGTTCTGCACAGAAGATTCACAACTGCTGTGTTTTGGTTCCGAAAAGGAAAGAAAACTTTATTATTATAAAACCTAATAGAGGGGCGCCTGGGTGGCTCAGTCGTTAAGCGTCTGCCTTCGGCTCAGGTCATGATCCCAGGGTCCTGGGATCGAGCCCTGCATCGGGCTCCCTGCTCCGCGGGAAGCCTGCTTCTCCCTCTCCCACTCCCCCTGCTTGTGTTCCCTCTCTCGCTGTGTCTCTCTGTCAAATAAATAAAATCTTATAAAAAACAAAACAAAACCTAATAGAAACAGGAGAGGAAAGGAATCTACACATAGATGAAGGTAATAGTAGGCAATAAATGAAAATAAGGCAACGGGGTGTCTGGGTGGCTCAGTTGGTTAAGCGACTGCCTTCGGCTCAGGTCATGATCCTGGAGTCCCGGGATCGAGTCCCCCATCGGGCTCCCTGCTTAGCAGGGAGTCTGCTTCTTCCTCTGACCCTCCCCCCTCTTGTGCTCTCTCTCTCTCAGATAAATAAATAAAATCTTTAAAAAAAAAAAGAAAAGAAAAGAAGGCAAAATTACATCAAATCAGGTACTTGCAGCAGCCAACCTCATCAGCCGGGGAATCTGGTGGAAACAGACTGGAGTCCTAATTGAGAGGCCCAGGGTGGCTCAGATGGTTAAACATCTGCCTTCAGCTCAGTCATGATCCCAGAGTCCTGGGATGGAGTCCCACATGCATGCATGGGGCCCTTGCTCAGCAGGGAGCCTGCTACCCACCCTGCTTGTACTCTCTCTCTTTGACAAATAAATAAATAAAATCTTAAAAAAAAAAGAAAGAAAAGTCAATAATGCTGAGATGGTGTTATGAACAAAAGATTCACAACAGCCATGTTTCAGCTTTGAAAAGGAAAGAAAACTTTATTATTATTATAAAACCTAATAGAAACAGGAGAGGAAAGGAATCTACACATGGATGAAGGTAATAGTAGGCAATGAGTGAGAATAAGGCAAAGTTACATCAAATTGGGTACTTACAACATCCAACCTCAACAGCAAGGGAACCCGATGGAAACAGTCAGGTTGGAGTCCCGATTGAGAGGCCTGGGCAGAGCATCCTCCCCTCAGGTGAGACTTCCAACTGACCATCCCCATAAGGGCCATATTTACAGGGCAAATAACAGGGTTTGAAATGAAACATTTGTTCGCCTACATGGTTTGGAGTGAGCTGCATTTCCATGTGATCATGTTTCTGTATTTTCAAGGAGCCTGGGCTACGTGTATCTGCTTCCCTTCCCAGATTCCATTCTGGGGGGGCCAGCCCAGCCTGGAGCAGAAGGGGATGTGAGACAAGATTTGTAGGTCTTGGCGTCCAGAACAGAAGGGTCGGTTCTGATGTGGAGGCCAGATAATATAGTTTAAACAATTAGGCTCCCAAGGTTATTCACAGAGCATGAGTCTCACAAACAACATTCCTTAGCCTGCCTGTGTTGATGCACATCCAGGTGGTCAGTTATGCGGGACAAATCACAAAAACATGTATCCATACAGAACAGCTACCCAGGCGCCCTCAAGTCACTTGTTTCAATATGTAATTACATTATTTATCTATTCACTTCTTTTGGTCTGTCTCGCCCTAGAAATCTTCCAGAGTGATATTTTAATGAAGGAAATCACTTCAGTATTGTGTTGTTTATATATGAATGTTTTTGGTAAAGTGCTTTTCTATTTTTCTTTTGGAAATTAAGAAGAAACATGGCGGCTGTCCTTCTCTCACATTGAAAAGGACCTTTTGAAAAGTCATGGACATTCTAAAACGTGCTGTGAAACTGATGGAGTAAAATGTTGCAGGTAACTTCCTTGTTTTGTTAAATGGTAGATTGTCTATGGAACATTTAATTCTTTTTTTAAAGATTTTATTTATTTGTTTGAGAGGGAGAGCACGAGCAGGGGGAGGAGCAGAAGGAGAGGGAGAAGCCGACTCCCCACTGAACAGGGAACCCGACACGGGGCTTGATCCCAGGACCCTGGGATCATGACCTGAGCCGAAGGCAGACGTTTAACCGACTGAGCCACCCAGGCGCCCCTGAACATTTAATTCTTTACTGATTTCATATCTCTAACCTGAAGATGATCATTGCTGAGTTGAGTCCTGGGGGCAGTGCGTGTCTGGATTGACCCTGGAGTATTATCTAGGGGATGAGCATGAAACCAGGGAAGCCAGATCCAAGAGCCCAAGGAAATAGCGTTGTTAGAAGGCAAGGCGAGAGCATATTCCTGAACCTAGATCAGATAGTTGTAGAAAGTATGATAGGGTGAGAGGATATGAACACTCACCATGGCTAGCCACAACAATTGGATGTGTCTTCGTATTTGGGTGGCTTTTTTTTTTTTTTT